TTTATCTTATTCTAGAGTCTACATTTTTCCGTAGATCTATTTTGTGATTTAAAGAAATAAACATTAAAATTTGATTCAAAGGTTGACAACTAATTAGCAGATTAATTAATTTAGCAAAAAATCAAATAAAGCGGTACACTAATAAATGAATTTCACAACCCACTAGACGTAAATAACGTATCGTTCATTTGGTTGAATCCTAATTAAAGCTTTTTGAAATACCTAAGAAAGTTTTTTGAGCGTCTCGATCTGGAATTAATGTTTTTTGGAACGGTTAGTACGTACAAATTCTTTTTTTGTACAGTGAGGGTTGCTACAAGAGCGATCGAGTAATGCATTTCATTTATCAACAATAAGTTAATTTTCACCTAAAAGTAATAAATAATGTCATTTATCGCTGTATCTAACATTAACAATAATGAGAATAATTAACAAAAAAAAAATGTTACTGATTTGGCTAAAAAGATCAGTACCAAACAGTTTAGCTGAGAATTTGTAATCTTTACATTTACATTATTACAGTAACTGTCTTATCATGTTAGTCAGAATAGGTTAGCACAAATAGATCAGAGTAGCGTAGATCACTTTTCAGGTGATACGCGCTAATCTGTAGCTACGGCTAACCTCATGGGAATGAAATTAGATTAGAGAAAAATAGCAGACGGAACTGTATGCTGCAATTCTAGGATCTCGGAACTTGTTTTACTTTTCTTTACTTGGTCTAAGTACTCATAATGACAAAATGCTGGTCATTCCCGGGTAAGTGGTGTGTCTAAGAAAATAATGATGGTGGTAATGCCTGCAGTGGTTACAAGACCTAAACATCATAATAATATACTTAAATTACTTTTTTTGTTATTTTTAATACTTCTAAATTTCTGAACACATATGTGGGCAAATTTCGACGTGTTCATATTGTAAACAAATATTTTTTTTTGGAACGCTTTTTGTCTAGCTTAGTTTTAATTCTGTATATCTTAAAAAAATTGTTGTTACATATTGTGTATTTAATTTGTAATGAATAATTTCATTCTGTTCTATACAGGGTGATTGTGAAATATATTGTAACCACGGCAAAACGTATCGTGCGAGTGAATCCTACTTTATTCGTAAACAGCATGCAATTTAAAAAATTACACGACGTGGAACATCAGCGGGCTGCAAAGCTTGCACTTTTTGAACGTGGCATGGATGTAGGCCTTGTTCTTTTAATGTACGATGCACTAGAAACTCTGAACTCCAACTTCAACTGCAAGTCGGCGAGTGCTGATGTCGGGCTCTTCTTCGACGAGTTCCAAAATTTGTTCTTCAGCTTGCAGTATTTCTTCGATCCTATCACGGCCACGATCGTGAGTTTGAGGCTTGAAGCTACCATGATCTCGGAGATGCTGTACCACTGATGTTGGTGCAGAGGGAATCACGCGATTTGGAAACCGCCCGATCTACAATTTGCAGGCCAACCTGGCGTTTCCATCAGCCACACCATAAAGTATTACCATGTAGATGGATTGGAAAAATTCACCATTGTCAAAGACGTTAACCGAACACACGACGGCAATCAACTGATACATGACTAGCCCTTACCGTGTTTTTGCACGTTGCTTATCAGTATGTCGCTTTTTAGGTACTTAATCCTAGTCACTCTGTCACTCATTGAATAATACTTATATTTTTTCTACATATTGCTACCACTTAGGAACGTGAACTTCACACAGAGCAATAAATCTTATTGTGAACTATTCCCCATTTCGAAATCAGCCTGTATACATAACACTACTCCATAATTTTAATGAGGAATTATATGGAAAGAATAAGTAGATAATGCTAATGTTAGCATGGCCATTTGTTTAAAATGACTATCAGAGAATACTAAAATTTCGTGAATTATCAAAATTATTTTCCACTGTGGTTAAGTGTTCAAAACAATTTATTATTACGACACCTTGGTACCAATTCGTTCAATAATAATTTATACATCTCCAAGGCAACCAAGCTGCAATAAGCAAGTACTTTTTTTTTGCTAATAAAATAAATAGTAGTGGATGGCAGATTTGATAACGCAGCAAATTAAAAATTCTTTACCTACTCTATTTTTGAGAAATAATGGTAATTTTACTAGAACTTTTTACTTATTTTTTGCCATATAATTCGCCGTGGAAGTTATGCAGTAGTGGTCTAAATCAGGCTGTATATATGTAATTTGACTAAAATATCGGATTAAAGCAGTATTAAACATGTACCAGTTTTATATAACTAAAATAAAACACGATATTTTATCACAACTACGATGATATAGCTCTTCGCTTTCTTGACTTCCACTCCGCCATATACAGACAGAGTTGAGTTTATAATACTTGTTATATCCCACGCTGAGAAAGTATTGTAAGGGGGTCCATTTTACGAATGGCTATTTTTATGTTTTATAGACGTTTCATGAACTCTAGAGTACGAAATAATAGGTCACCCATTTCCGTTTGTCTATCTACCGTCTGCTGTTTGTGTCAATCTGTCAATCTTTCTTAGATTCTCTTCTAAACTACTGCATCCGTCCAGTTTTAAATGTATGTTAGGAATATCGTGTAGATTATAGAACGGTAATTAAAACTTGGCTAATCACCCTGACCCTATAATTTGCTTTGTAAATACTTTACATTTTATAAAATAAGGGTGAAAATTTAGGGTTATATGTATTTTTTGATGCCAAATCTTAAAAAAATAAAAGTAAAAAACATTTTTTGGGTAGGCCACCCGTATCACCTAGGGGTATAAAAAATAGTTTACAACCTATTCTCTCAGACCTACCGAATATACACAAAAAATTTCATAAAAATCGGTCAAGCCGTTTCGGAGGACTTTGGTTACAAACACTGTGGCACGAGAATTTTATATATTAGAAGATATATACTCGTGTGCTTGAGGTTTATGAGTCCGCCTTGTTTTTTAATCACAATAACTTTACAAAAATGTTTGTGTGATATCTACCGCGTGTTTTATGTAACCGATATCCTGCGCACGTACGAGATGATAAGGTGTTGAATTTAAGCAATTTGAACTCTGCGCCCGTGAGTTTGAATCCCGTCCTCGTCGATATGTTTTTTCTAAGACACTGAATTTGTTTGAGATTTGACTTCAGGTGCGAAGGAGTCCATTCTAAATAATTTTAGGCCAGCTTGTTTACCAGTTATTTTTACAATTTGAAACCTAAATATACGGTCCAGTTAAGTATGAAAACCGATTTCATTGAGTATATCATACACCTCATCTCACTAAATTTACCCTTGGTACTTCGGGTGCAAATCTATATCTATCTAAGATGCAATAAATTTCAGCATTAAATGTTTCACTAAAATCACTTTAGTCAATAGCATGATGAGCCGACTGATCACTGAGTGAAAACTTTCCAAAAAATTTGTTTTATTTTCAACACATCTTCTTCAAAAATATTGTTTTGAATTCTTTATTGTATGTAGAATGGTATTAAGTTATTAATAGGTATTATACTTTTTTTGTAATTTCAAGTAATATAATTCGAAATGTAGGATATAATTAAATACTAAAGTTGCCTTTATCAGACAGTCTAATTCCAACCAATGTCCTACTTTATCAACACAGAATTTTTGAGAAAATAAATGCATGAACCGATTTATTTTATATCCTACGAAAAGTTTATATAATTTATCCAACACCTCTTGATTATAAGGTCATAAAATTGCCGATTACACATTAGAAGGCCCATAAGTCACTAGTGGAATTATAAATTTATAATTAAACTGTTTTTTCATAATTAAACAGTTTAGAGAAAATTGAACAGTTTATTGAACACAAAGAAGTTTAATACATAAAATTAGAATTATATGAACCATTTGTCCAGCGTATCTTAAAAGGAAAAATTTCATGTACTCGTATGCTAATTATGCTATGTGTTTTCAATCACATAGTTGATACGAATGTGATATTGTTTATATACCTACACTGCTCCATTTCATCAGTGTGATGAAACTATGTATAGACTATAGACTACTGTTTGTATAAAAAATCAGAATTGAATTGAATTGGCAGAAATCAATGAACGTTATTAACATATTACTTCCGGTTTAGTGGAAAACAATCAAAAGTTTAACAGTAAATAACTAAGCGATCTCGCTTTGTATCTACCATAGTTTCCTGAAAAATATCCAGTGGTAGATTATTGGCAATATTTTGTGTCATTATATCACTTCTTACTAACTTAGTGAAATATAATAAACTGTAGGTTTGTGACAGTTGGTTGTCAAATTAGGAATACAATAATTAATCGAGTGATTATTTCATGGTCTAAATCAATAATTAGATTTTTCTTGTCATTATAAATGGTTTTAATTCATCATACTTTTTTCTGTACGACGTTGAAGAAGTGCATTTGAAAAAAATGAACCCATTTAATTGGTTGTTTATTTTTTCTAGGAAACCAGGTATCCATCATAATTTGAAAGCTCAGTCCATTTCAGGGGTAAATTAATTGACACGTTTGAAACAAATGACTCATGTCTGGTGACGTAAATAATTAAGACCATCAATGAATAATAATTAAGCGATTTTGTATATGGCGAGTTAATTAATTTATGATTTGACACAGTCTGGCTTTTCGCAGCAGGATGCATCAGTTTGTAATAAAGAGTCTCTTTCTATCGTGGGAAAAGTTTTGTGTTAATATTGCTACTTGTGTGTGTTTAAAAAAAAACACAAAGACACTACTTTATGACAATTGGTAAAATTAAAGATTTAATTAATTGCAGTGATTTATGGGCTAGTTAATGGACACCTACTAGGCAAGTTTAGTGATAGAGCGTACAACGTCCTTCCAGCAGGACTCCCAGTCCTCTCCGTCCTACCAGTTTAAATCGCTTATAAGAGAACTTTCTGGCCTGCTAGCAAGACTCTGTTATACATCCGGAAAAAACTGGATTTTTTTCCTGTTCAGGCATGCAAAAATCACGTTTCTGTGACAAAATTTACCAGTCATGGAGAAGATTTCGTTAGGTACGCGCGTAGCCATACGTGCTACCAAGTTTGATCCAAAAGACAGTGACAACTCGTGGAGTAGGTGCTATTTTGGTGATAATTTTTCGACAGCGTTATGTTGGGGGACAGTTACTGCTAAAAATAATGATAAAATATCAATAGTATGGGATATTGATAGCAAAACAACCAAAGTACGGTTTCAAGACCTGGACAAGATTGAAAAAGGTATGTAAATTATGCTTTCAATGTTATTGTTTGGTTACAATTCGCTAATAATAATAATTTAACTAAATTTTGCACACAATAATATAGATTAATAAAAAATTAAAACAAAAATATGTATTTAAATTTTTAAATACATCAACACTAATTTTAAATTATTAATTAATATTTCTTTTTCTAACAGTACAAAGTTCACATGGTGATGGTGCCAGTACACCTCAGGTATCCTACGTCTAAATCTTATATTCATATTGTCTATTACTTACTAACACTTTATATGTATAAATTACTAACTTTTCTCATTTCTCTTAGTATTCAGGAGTATTCGTCTTTTGCAAAATATATATAATTTCTTTCATGTGCACTTCATACATAATGTTTTGCTTTTCGCGTGTCAATGGATCGAATCATAAAGTATATATAAATCGTAAATTTTCAAGATAACACCTGAAAGAAATTTCTCAAAAAAATACTGTATTAATAGATCTCTAATTCTTTGTAGACACGTTCTAATTTGTTTGCGACATGTTTGTTTTCTAAAACCTTTACAACTTATATTTTTGATTTCACAGGCTGGGCCTTCACGAAGTCGACGATATGAACTCTCAGACACATCTGACTCTTCATCAAGCTCTTCATCTTCTGATGAAGACGATTTGCCAACACAGAACGATACAATTCTGGCACACTCGACAAAATGGACGTTTACAGAAAATATAGAAAATGATGAATATAAAGAAGGTTATTATAAACCAAAATTAACCACAACTGATATGATGAATATGAGTGAACTCGATTATTTTGAATTATTTTTCCCTACAGAAAAACTCAATTTAATCTTACACTACACTAATTTAAAATTGGCACAAGGCAGAAAACCAATCTCCAGACAAGAATTGTATAAATTTATAGGAATGTTACTGGCAATGAGTGTTAATACACTAACTCCAAGACGAAAGTACTGGAAAAATACAGATACTGGCGTATTTCCTCCCGCTGCATTTGGAAAACGATTTGGCTTAGGATTGCACCGGTTTGAAGAAATTATGCACGCGTTATCTTTTGCCAATCCCGACGAAGATGTTGGAGACGATAAATGGTTTCAGCCCCGGGCCTTAGTTAATTTCTTAAACGAAAAATGGCCAAGTATCATGACTGCTGGCTACAAGCTAACTTGCGACGAATCCATGTTTTCTTGGTATGGCAAAGGAGCACATCAAAATGGAATGCCGGCTGTTATAAAAATCAAAAGAAAACCTAAAGGCGTCGGTTGTGAAATGAAAACACTGGCTGACGCACAAACGCGCATTATGTTGCAGATGGAAATAAACGAAGGAAAAGACGCAATGCAAGAAAAAAGATGGCAAAGAGAATTGGGCGCGGGAACAGCTACCACCTTACGTCTCACTCAAAAATGGCATGGAACGAGCAGAATGATAATTGGAGATGCTTGGTTTGGATCAGTCAAAACTACTGTTGAGTTGAGAAAAAGGGGATTATATTTCTTAGGGATCGTCAAAGTCGCTACGACAAATTATCCTTCAAAAATAATAAAAAGCAAATGCCCTGAAGAAAAGGGAAGATATGCAACTGCTACCGCAGAAATTAACAACACAAAACTCATAGCTCTTGCTTGGAGAGATCGAAAAGTTCACACATTTATTGGTAGCTGTGGGACCACAATAGACGGGGAACCGTGTAAAAAACGAAGATTCGACGAAGAAGGCAATCTGTATTATAAATCAGTGAAACGCCCAAAACTGGTTCAAACATACTTTGATGGAGCCCCTGCGATTGACATTCACAACCACATACGTCAAAGTGGACTATCTTTAGAAACAGTATGGAATACACAAAATTGGGAGCACAGAATGTATGCTAGTTTATTTGGAATAATAGAAACGAATGCTTTTTTGGCATATAATTATTTTGCTTCTAAAAATGTAGATCATCAAACTTTTACAGAAAATCTGGCCATACAATTAATCAATGGACCAACGGAAAAAAGAAATGTGGATAGACATCAGTCCCTTCCTCACGAATTAGATGTTTCCAATAATAATAATGATCCACATGTTTTAAAGCCGTTGAGTTCCACAAACCCAAATAAACAACGCATTCAAAGAAAATGTATTATTTGCTCCAGAATCAAAAAAGTGCAGCAAAAGGCATCATATTTTTGTGTACCTTGTGGAGAAAGGGCTGTAATGTGTAGTCCTCAGACAGGCAGAGACTGTTTTGTTTACCACATCCGAAATGGAATTCCTGCTTAAAAAAGCCTTTTGTTATACAATTTATTTTATTACAATATGCAAAAATAGTGTTGATTTCTTACATTTCTGATAATAAAGTTTATTTTTAAATGTGAATTTGTTTTTTTTTAAGGATATTATATTATTATAAATCCATTTATTTATTAAAATAACTTTCCCCGCCGCCTCTGGTCAATTTGCGCGCCGTACCATGTGACCAACATCAGAACGTAAGTCCTGCCGGAAGGACAGGGCACCTAATTTTACGTCCTTCTGGCAGGACCGGACCCTGTTGCACAAAAGTACTTCTTGAAGCGCTTCCAGCAGGACAAATCGTTGTACGTTCTATCATTAGAATTATGTGACATATCAACAAATAAAAACATCGAATCGACCGAACTTGACCATATTTGTTCAAATCATTATTAATGGCTATTAACATTAATTCGATCGGGAATTTTAGTAAAAATGATGATCTGGTCGTGGACCTGGTTAGCTGCAGTGTAAACATCCTATAATATCAGAAAAATGCTAATTACCTCAGAATTATCATTAATTAAGACTAATTTAACAAGCCATAAATAAATTCCTGGCAGAATTCTAAAATGTAGGAACACATTACTTGTTGACAAACGAGCAAACTTCGCAAAAGCACCGTAAAAATAACAAACAATGTTTAAAGAACATACATTTCCTAATCCCCACAAACTTTAAGAACATAAATCTTCGTCAAATAATATTGTTAAAAGTTATATAAAACTCAGTCACAATAGAACTCTAAAAATTCGAACCGAATCTAGGTGAAAATGCTCTTCTTTGTAAAACTTTGGAGTACTTGCATAAGTTCGATCGTCAGTCATAAAATATTTTATGACCAAAACTGGATCACTTCCGGGATTACCGATGTCTCCCACATAAAATTTTTGAAGTTAGGGTGTTTTTTAGGGCCAAATCCACTTTACTGTTACGAAATAGCCCCCACTAATAGTCACAACATTTAAATGAGTCTCGAAAGCTTGTCGCCTCGAGCAAAAGCAATGAAAATGTGAATAGCTCTGTTTATTATTATCAAGAGCAACTTTTTATGCCAGCAGTTTTTTAGCAGTTGAATGCATTTGCGAGCCTTCAAGGCTATAAATAAATTGGGTAATCGCTGCAGAGGAACGCAGAATAATTGATGTTCAATCAAGTTCGGAACAATGAGGATGAGCATGTGTTCGTGCTGAAAAACTTCTTTTTTGGCTGTTGACTTAAGCGTGCCGCAGGTTTTAAAGTCAAACATGTTGAGAATGGAATTTTTTTCTGGGATGTAATCGTTGAGAATTTGGTTTACAGTATTGTGGATTCATCAGATTCAGACATTCGCTAACAAAAAAACCCATACTACATTGAGATACCGTACGATATACATAAAATTTTGGTTTAGCGCTGAACAATTTACAAAAAGAATTCCAAGTAAAATTGTAAAAATTTCTTTTCGATGGGAACATACATAATTGTCTTTAAAGTAGTACCTACAAAAAATAACGAATTACTAACATTAAACAATTACTACGAAAACTATAGGAAATAGTTATTTGTTTATTAAGTACAAACAATGTTTTTGTGACGAGTAATCAGGGCGTTGGATGACGTTCAGAAATCTTACGAGGTCCGATGACGCAAAAGAACATCTTTTTCTCCAACTATTTTTACTATTAGGCTCCATGACTGTGCGTTGTTTCGGATAAGATAGAAATATTAATATTACAATGGGTACTTTCAATGATCCAAGAGAACGTAAATTGAAATATTCCGAACAGGAATAAAAAAAAAGAATTCAACATATCGTGAAGAAAATGGGAGTAACCGGAATGCAATTAACGTCTTTCATGATCATGACCTGACTGCACAATATTCAGATCAGTACGAGATATGTCGATAAAGTGTAATCTAAGTTCATTGCCATCGCAATTGATGTCGACCTAGGGCACTTTAATGGGTTTTTGGGTTAGGGACAATTCATGGACAATCAATACTCGAAAGAAGTTCCAGGATACATCGAAGAACTGGGATCCCTGTTAGAACTACATTTCTTCAGATTAACCACTAGTTTGAAATTCTGCCAGCTACTGCTGTAGTTGGTTGAATCGTTTGGACTTTATCGAATACATCGTTGTAATCCTTGATTTAATTTTATTTATCGAGCAAATAAAAAAAGTAATGTGCGATAAAAAAATCGTCCTCAGTCGACACTGGTTTTTAGTTATCATTTTAATTTCCCCTTGTGAATAACAGACGATAAAAAACCTCCCCCTCGTCCAATGAAGCCGTGAAGGCCGATTTGTCGATCGCATCTTAGTGTATTAATCATACTTCTGAAAATATGACGAAGATTAGGTATATGTTGATCTTTACACTGTATGAAGATGTTTAGTAGATGCGAGTCAATGGCATCCAACCGACTATCTAGAGTATCAGTTCAGGAAATGTCACTTGGATGGAAAATAAATTAACACTGTCTCAATTCGGACCCATATTATCATCAGCAGTTCAGACAGACAAAATAAATGAGGTTGTTCACCATGAATAATTACTTTACTCTTGGTACTGCTGACAATTAAGTTTGAAATGGTAAAGACCTGGATTAATTGGTTGTAAATGCATAGCTTTTACTAGCTTAGTGATACAAGAGCTTGCAGTTCTTTGACTAAAATCAGTTTGACTGTAAGTGTGACTAGTAGATTTTGTAAATTTAAAAACGTACCTACTGTTTGATTGTGAATGCTATGTCTTACTGTATCCCTGTTTATGTTAATTAATACTTTTACTGATTCGTCACAGTTTTTACTTGAAATTATTAATTGCGTTTATAGGAACCGTATTAATATTTCCCAAAACATGTTTACCAAAACAACGCACTTTATGTAATACACGGTGAATTTCGTGACCTGCTTCTAAATCAGGAAAGTGTGAAACAAATCTGGTACAGACGGGGGCATGTATGGTGGGTCATATCATAAGAACAAGAAAATTACCTTAGAGGTAAAAATTCAATAATAGGTGCATTTTTCATTTATTATTAATTTCTCTTGTTTTTAGTATACGTATTAGGTAGAATTCTCAGTCATCAAATGTTTAAAATTTGCATTTTTGTGCAAAAAAATTAATAGTAGTAGCTGAATGTAAATTAAAAATTTATATCACAAAGTGTGATGAAAACCTTTATATAAACAAAATGTTGGTCTAAATGTACTTCAAATTTATGAGAGTTTACACCAAACATTCAGTGTTTTAAAAAATAAACTGACTTTTCTTAAGTAATTAGTGCTCCGTTGAGGAGACAAATTCAATCGCATTTTATTTTCTTTTAACCGCTGATACTGTTACTTGTAACCTGAACGTACTAATATTCGAATTCTTTAGAAGTATAAACATAAACAGTGGAAGTTAAGAACATGCGGACCGTGCCTCCTTGAAATTTGCGCCCCGTGGAGCAGGGGCTGCAGGGGTGTTATTTATGGAGGTTATCACAACGAAAACAGTAGAATCAAATTTTATAATTTGTCAAAAAAGTGGGATTTGTCAGACTATATTTCAAGGGGGAGGCAAGTTCTGTTGAATTAACTTTCGACCAACTTTTTAAAGAAGCCGATGAGTCAGAAGTCGGAATTAAAAACTTTTACAGTTTTAATACTAAAGGTATAACATCTACACCTAAATCATCAAGAAATATCTAAAAAAATTAGCAAATATAATCAAAAAATGTAAATGTAATCAATGAATGTATATTTCGGAAACAGTTAAACGTGGCCAACTCATTTCATTCTACAAAAAAACGCACGGTAATTTACCCGATAGTTTCCGCCCTATATGTTTTCTTCCTACACTGTCAAAGGTATTTGAAATTGTCTTAAATAATAAGAATGGGAAGTTTTTAGAAATCAACAATATGGATTTAGAGCTAATAAGCCTACAATTTTAATCATTTTAGATTTGTCAGAAAATATTTGAGAAATGGTAGTCAAACTCTGGCAACATTTTTTAAGTTATCCAAAGCATGCACATAACTTGCTGGTGAATAAGTTCTACTACTGTGGTGTCAGAGGAAGTTTTTATAATAAAATTTTATTTATGTGATAGATACCAAACTCTCTATTTCAATAATCCTCCACAAATTTTTTATGCTTCTGAGCCGCATCACTAGATTCTTGGCCCCCTTTTCTTTATTATTTATGTTAACGGCTTATGTTTAAACGTTACACTTGATAAAATATTGTTACCTTATTTGTAGATGATACTGCTATAGTTAATATTTTCAATTTTCAGTACAACATAAAGTACATATATCATATTCATAACCATAATGTAACTCTTTTTATAAATTTATTTTTATAAAATGTGTCAAACATAGTTATCTAGTAGTTAATTCTGACTTTTGCAATAATCCTATTGTCAATTTTGAGCTCGGAGAACTTTCTAGTCTTTGCGATAAGATGTGACACATATACTGTTACGAAATAAACCCATACGCCGTCCCGGTACGATGCCTATGTGCTTTCTAGTATGTGCGTCGATGATGGGTGACTAATCGTCGGTGATGGCGGCCGAGCGACGTTCGCTAAAGAAAAGCCTGGAATCGCGATGGGTAGTCCAGAAAAACCTCGATCACGAAACCTGTACAAGGAGAGTATGGGTTTAAATAGATGCCACCTTCGGGAACGATTATTATTCAGTTGACGATTATGGAGAAATAAAGTGTTGAGTGTTATCCACGCCGATTTTAAATTACGATCATCGTACACAGAAAAAAGTTTACTTGTAAATTTACTGTGAAAATCACAGGTAATTTGTAACCCGAGATAATAAGGGTAATATTCCAACGAAATGTATTTTTAAGTTTGAATGTGATATTTACTTTTTGAATGTAAATCGAAATTACAAAAGAACATGTAAAATTACAAGTAAAATGTAATTTTGACGATTGTAAATTTACAATAAAATATGTAAATTTCCGTGAATAGGTATGTAAATTTCCGTGA